CGTCATAGTGTGACAGAACACAAGTGTATAAAGAGTTGCTCACAGAAGGAAGCTTAACAACTTATGTAGAAATGTAAAATAGTGAGGGAGGGAAGAATTTTTTCTAGTTGAGGTTTTTTTTCCACAGGTGTGAAAACATGTCAGTAACCCATTTCCATGCTGAAAAGCTACATTCATCCATAATTGCTCAGCATTGGATAGACTGAGATATTTGTTGCAAACTGTTTGGGTAGTCATTCACTGCTATTTTGTTCCTTCTGTTAAGACTAGCTAATATACTGCTCCTTAAATCTGAGAAAAATGCATTGGCTTGCCATCCTTGCCCCCATGTTTATTTGAATTCTACTTAGAGCTAAAAGGTTTTTGAGCCACATATGTAATGGGAAACTCACAGCTTGTTAGCAACCGAGTGGATCAGAGTTCAAGGTACCCATTTCTAGGTAGCAGCAGTTGAACTGTATCTTATTCATGACATGGATTATTTATGACATGAATTTTTTTTTTTGTCACAGGGCAAGTTGAGATTGCTGGGGGTTTTTTTTTATGTGTGAGGAGCCTTGTATGGTACATTTTTGTAATACCTTTTATTTTTGGCCAAACCTGTAAATAAATGTGTGGTGAGACAGAGTCCTAATTTTTAAATGCCTTTTGTTTGCCTCTATGGGGTAGCTACCTCAGTAGAATTTAGGTATTCCTGACATAATTCAAGAGACTAAAATGCTTAGCCTAGATATCTTTGGAGGGTTTTGTACTTTATAACTAAGTCAAAATAGTGTAACTACTCAAATAGTCATACTCCTTTTTTGTGGCTGCATTTAATTTATGCCTTGGGCTGAAAGGATTCAGTAACTTAGACTGAGCTGCAAGAGTTCAGAGCTGTGAATGTGTTTTGGTTTTTCCCCTGCTGTTGTTGTGAGGCTCTCTTACAACTATAATTTTTGCTTTCACTGAATAGTACCTGACCAAAAGTACTGTCAGCATTGGCAAGTAAGTTGTGCTACTTACTGTACATAAGAGTGACAAAATAATCTCATTCCTGATGGATCATAGCTAGAACATCAGCTGCTGAGCTTCTGTTCAGGTAGGACCTGATTTAAGAAAAAATAACAATGAATATTTTGGTTTGATTTTTGCAGACTGAACCTGATTTTCTTCCCATGAAACACTGGATATCTATGGTCACAGAGACCCTCTTTAGTATTGTGAATAGCCGCTATCGCCCTAAAGGTCAAGTTTTCCCATGGTTCTACCAGGTACATGTTGTGGTGTTAAAGGCAAGAGAATATATCTGTATTTCATACCTGGAGCTCTTAATGTGGAGTTTCCTGGTTCTGTTTGCCCTGTAGTAGTTGTAATACAGGAGAATCTCATTCTTTTTCTTTCATTGTGTTTTCTGCTTATATTTGGGTTTGCCTGGAGTTTTTGTTTATTACCAAAATAGTAAAAACCACATGTGAGGATACGTGAATGGAGGAAATTTTAAAAACTAAAAAAAACCTTCAAAACCTGGAATATTTGGTGTGTATGTATGTCTGTTCTAACATGAACAGACTCTTCTCAGGCCACACTATCAAACTTCTGAATGATTCTGACACCATTCCTTAGAACTCTGAAAAGCATACTTTCTCAAAATCTTAACAGTTACGGAGCCAGTGATTCTTATTTTACAGTACCTCTTGAACCCCTGAAGTAGGCCAGTAGAAGTTGTATCATATGTGCTTGCAGTGTGATAACCAACCTGAAATTATTAAGCCATATAAATATCAAGCAGTTCTTAAGTAGCACCTGGAGATAGACTGAAAGCTTAGTATAGACCTTAAGGAATAGGTATTGCTAACTCTTGACTATCTGTGGTACTAACGACCAGGTTGGAGATTTTGTGCCGCAGATGCAGAAGCGAACTTGGGTCCTACAAGGCCAAATGCCAGACTGCTAATATATCATAATGTTTTCTAACCAGAACTTAATTAACTGCGTTCATGAACTGTGTTTAGTTTGGTAGATGAGATGTTAGCATCAAAAAGCTGAAGAATACCGATGGACCCAAGTCAGCTCTGACATGTGCCCCCTGTCACCACTCGCAGGGGACACAGATCACCAAATCAAATGTGGTGCTGAATGAATGCTAGACTAGTTGGACGTGAGGAGATTCAACTACTTGGTTGGCACTAGCAGTTCTTGCCAAATTGTTTTGTGACTCCTGCCTTTGAAAATAATGCTGTTTAAAAAAAGGTGGGTTTGAGATGAAAAAATGTGACAGAGTTTCATTTCTAAAATCCACTCTGTTTAGGAAAAAAACCCAACTTTTTAAAAAGTCTTACGCTTGTAAAATTCAGAGGCACACAATAGAAATCACTGTCTTGCAGAGTGCCTTTTATCCTTGTGGGGTTTTTTTTCTTTTCCTTTACAGAGTTGCACGTGAAAGTTGATAAATACACATTAGGCTATTGCTTACAACCAGTCCATTGCTTTAGAAGTAGAGGTGGCTGTATGGCTTTTACCTTTCAAAATGGAAAGGAATGAAAAACCTTTGTAAGGGATCTTTCTTCTAGAAAATATCTCTACTGGTTATCTTTCAAGATTTCGTGATGTTTTGTCATCCTAGGTGTGATGCTTTTAAGGCAGTGCTTTTGCCAACTCACTAAATTCTCGACGTGTTATAATGACAGAAGTACATCATGACTGGTTTCTGTTTGCCCTTCTGATCATGCTGCTGGATATTTTAACAAGGAAGATGAAAACTGAAATAGATCAATGTATTTATGTGCAAACTAACTGTTGAATTCTGGTTGCATCTTGTGTTACCCTTTGTTTACAATTTCATACTTAACAATCTTTATTTAAACTTTGAAATTATATTCTGAATTACCCTAATTTTAAGCTGTTTACAAGGTGAAGCAAATGGGAAAGTTACCATAGGCAATTCCATGAAAACTGTTTATTGTCAGATTGCAGTACATCTGTGGCTGCTATTTGCTGCTGTATAGGTATTTCTTTTAATTTCCTAAAGTGCTGAGTGTTACTACCTGGAAAGGAATTTTATTTCCTTTCCCCAAGAGTAAAAGAAAAAAATAATTCTTTTTAATATTTTTCTAGAAATCCTATTCGGGTGAAAATACTGCTAGTATTATAGCTCGTTCCTGCGCGGCCACTGCATTGTCTCTCCTGGTGCCGGTTTTCATTTTGTCATGCAAGGAGAAGGTTGAGGAGGTCCTGATTATGCTGACTGACAGGTTACCTGGGAAACCAAATGCTGATGAGTCTCAAGCTGTTCAAATCCACATGGGCCTTGGTTTGGGGATGTTTATCTCACGTTTGCATGAAGAAAAAGTTAGGTAAGGGTTACCATATGTAATGTAGGTGTGCAAATAACTTTCTTCTTTTTCCTGCATGTGGCCTTAAGTTCTGAGGAATTAAAGTATTTACAAGTTATAGGCAAATGACTCTTGAGGGGCTTTGCAACATTTCTTAAAAAGTGTCTTTTGTTACCAGTTTTCACCACCCACCCCGCTAGTGCTATCCTGTATATTTTGCCACATTCCTTCAGGGTGAATGATTAATTTTCATAATATCCTAAGGTACATGTGCAAAGCAGTCAGCTAGGAGAGCCACACAGATGCTTTTAAAGGGGACCTAGCTGCCCTAGGAGACTTCACTGTAAAATATTTCACAGTTCCCATTGGTTCCTTTCTAAGTGGTGCTGTGGACGCTGGATAGTGTTCACTTATACCATGTGAGTTACACATATGGGGATAGAGCTACAACAGAAGTAGCGTAACGGGCTGTCTTTAAGGTGTGCTGTTACGGCTATGTTGGCAGAAGAGAGACGCTCTGAAGTTGGTAGAAAATGCCTCCTTTACAGAAGGGTTGGCTTCAGTTGCAAATTTCCAGTGATTCTAGTGAAATTAAGTAGGTCGGGCTTTATACTCCTTAAGCTTCTTGACTGCTAGGGATTCTGTCTGCCTATATGCTCATAATAAATGTTTAATTGGTGCACAGGCACAGGTATCAAACAGATTTGGCTGTCAGTTGTTAATTTGCTCAGTGAAGCTAATGTTTCTGATGCACCTGCCTTTGTTAAAACACTGTGCAGCAGTGCTGGGTTCTAATCTTCATGCTTTGGTGTCTTGATGCCTTGCTGGCTCTGACTCAGCCACATAATTTGGGGGATGGACTGTCTCTGGATATTTAGTCAGTGGTAACAACTGAGCTGCACACAAGCATTAAAAGGCTTTTAAAGAGGATTACATTAGATCAGCTTGGTGTTTTGGAATATATGAATCTTTATTTTGGAGGTTTGGAGGTTTTTTGTTCGTTTGGTGAGGGGTGTTGAAATTCATAAATTTTTCTAAAATTTTCTTACGGACTAGATAGGTTTTTACTCTTCCACTGCCCTGGGTGCTTAATCTCACACATTCTTCCAAGCATTGACTTGCAACAACAGCAAAACTTGTAGGGAGGTAGCTGTAGCTAATACCAAATCATAGAGTTAGTTGCATTAGGGTTGTCCTGTTCATTAAGATAACTGCGTACAGGTTTTATAAGAGGGGAGTCCCTATGATGTCTTTGGAGTGAGATGTAAGTGCTTCCTTTTTTTTTAATCAATAAATTAGGCAAAAAGATTGAGAGAGATATTTACAGAGCTAAAATCTTAAAATGTCATGAATTTTCAGTTTATAAATAGTTACAGGTGTAGCTGAGATCATGTTCTATCAGTACCTTCCTACTGTCAGGCATGTTTTAAAAATCCTGGGTGCTGGGTTTCTGGGTGTTGTAGCAATAGTGATTGCCAGTTAAGGTCTGAATATGTTTTTATTATATGAGTATGTTTATATGAATGTGACACAAATGACCAGTCGTATAGTTATTGCTTACAGAGTAGTATGAAAACCTGTTACAGCAATAAAATAACTGTATTTACTGGCATGCTTAGTGTTTGCAGGAGATTTAATATCCTGTGAGAGGGGATTAATACTTGTTTTGGTTTTGTAGTGATGTACCCAGTCAACAGATGAACTTAGTTCTAATGAAGTCCCTGGATGCACTGGAAGACTGCTGCTTTGACACCAGTCTGGAGTACAAGTGAGTTTCTTTCATTATTGATGATATGTTGTTTTATTTTGAGCTCCACCTTTTTAATTCATGCTTTTATCGCTTAATTCTACATAGAAGAGTATAAAGATAGGATAAGGACACAGCGTGTTCTGTACTTCCATAGAATCACCAACTCATGCAGGCTGGCAAGACCTTTGGAGATCCACATCCCTCCCCAAAACAGACTCAGCCACGGACTTGGACTACATTGCCTGAGGCTTTACAGTCAGAATTTGAAACCCTCAAAACTGGAGACTGCACAGTCTCTCTGGCTCCTAACTCCACCTTTGGGCTGTCCTTATCTCCATGTGAATGTCTGATATTTCAGTTTGTGCCTACTGTCTCTTGGCCTCCCACCATGCAAGAGCTCAGCTACATCTCCTCAATCCTTTCCTGTCATGGAGAGATGCTGTTGGGTGCCCTCAAAGCCATCCCTTCTCACAGATGAACCAACCATGAGGCGATGGTCTCACAGCCTCTCTCTCAGGGCAAGGGCTCCAGCCTTGCCTCAGTAGCCTCCCATTAACTTGTTCCTGTTTTATTGGTGTCTTTCCTGCATTCAGAGCAGTATTCCAGGCGTGTCAGTGAGCAGAGTGGAGGGGTGATCCTTGCCCTGGCTGTCATGTCTCTATCCTGCTCATGCTGTGGGTGCACTGCTGGCCCTCATCGCTGTCTGGGTGCATGTCTGCCCCCAGCTCAGCTTGCTGCCACCGATGCCCAAGGCTGTCCATAGGAGCTGATGCCCAGACCCTCTGGTCCTAGTCTGTCTGTTGCCAGGTGCAGGACTATGAGTTGGAGCTTGTTGAATTTTAAGATGTTCCTGCTGGTTTATTCCTCTGTGTACCATCTTCTAAGTGAGTGTGTCCATAAATAAATATATATATAAAATACTTTATATATGAACATATATAAGTGTATGCATATGTGCATATATCTGACAGATACACACAGTTTTTTCTATATAGTCCTTACTGTGAGGTGAAAGGAAGCAATGACCAGCACTGCTAATCCCTGCCAACCCACAAGTAAAAAAACCTTGGGCACGTATAGAGAACCCCACAGTCTTACTCACAGGCAGTGGGAAGATACCAGCAATTCGAGGAACAGGATTGCTTAGCTGCACATGTTCATTAATGAAAGATGTTTCTGAAAGTCCTTCCTTGGTGCTCTTGGGTGGTTGCCAAGGTGTTCAATGAAGTTCAGCTGCTTCTGTGTTGGAGCCTCTTACTGGAATGTGCATGTGTGTACAACACAGCGTGAACTCTGGGAGCAGCTGCCTCATGTGGCTTACTTATCTGGGAGAGCCAGGCTGTTAATTCAACAGCTGTGGATGACATGTTGAAGGCAGGGTAAAGCAAATATATTTAATTTAACCAACTGAAGTTATGCCTCAGGTGTCCCAGAAAGAGGAGCAGCCCACCAGAAGGGCAAGAAATTATTGAAAGGTGTAGCACGATTACTAGCATTGGCAAACCTGGAATAACTGAACAATAAAACACGTCAGTTGCCATTAAACAACTAACATAACATAGTAGTATGTCTTCCACACCAGTCATTTTGCTTTTAATATAGGGAAGGAACTGCAGTATCTTGAGTGCCTCAGTGTGGATGGGTAGTGCCTCAGATGGTTTTGATTTTGAACATCATTCTGCCCAGGTCTTCCCTGTTCAAGGGAAAAAGACCAATAATTGGTGTTTGAACTCCCCTTCTCCAGTGGACCTTCTGAAAAGCTGTGAGGGGTCACAGTTGCAGACCATTGGGCTATATAGCTTCATTAGGATTTGGATTGCCTCTTGAGTGGCACAGGGTGAGACCCATGGTGCACAGGGGGCTGCATCAGTTGTGTCACTTTGTTATACCTGTTGCTGCTTGTTTGTGCAATCTATTCGCTGGAGATAAATGCGTCACAGAAAAGCCAAACTAGACTTCTCTGGCAGTGAGAGGTTGCCAGAAGAATATGTAACAATGGCAAGCAGGAGAGGGAAGATCGAAGGGTGGGTGGGTTTTTTTCTTTCTTATGCTGGGCGTAATTGCTACAGCTTTTAAAGGTTAATGGTACCTTGGTGCTTACTGTGAGCACAATGTGACCAAAGTAGTAATGTAAAGCTGTAAATGTTGCAGACTTGTCCAAGTTTGGCATTTCTCCACTTTAAAACTGCTATTCCAAAGCAAGAGCCTTTCCAGCCTTTTCATCCAGTATGATGGGCATGGCCAACTGTGGGACGTAAGCATTAACACTGACCTTTTCATCAGTGTTTCATCCCTGCCAAACAGGCGATTCTCTTTTTCTGTTAAAAGAAATTTTGCAAGTTTTTTGAGAGTAGGTATTATGCGGTACAGATGTGGGAGGGCGGAGTTCCCTTTTTTCTGAATGCCAGCAGTAATCATATCCTCTCCTGCGGCTGCCCTGAGGTTAGCGGCGGCCGGGAGGGCTCCCGGTAGCAGCCCCTGGCCCTGCGCGGCGCGGGAGCGCTG